AAAATCAAGATATCAAAAAGCATTTAAAAATATCATAAAGAGAGTGAAATGCAAACCATAGACTGGAGATCATACTTGAAATATATATATGTGGAAAACAACCCTTATCAAAAATACATACAAAGAACTTTTATGAATCATTAAGAAAAAGATAAATAACCAAATAGAAAAATAGGTAAACTACTGAATAGGCATTTCACAAAAGAAAATATGAATGGCAAACAAAAAATAAAAGATGCTCAAACTCATTGGTTAACAATAAATTACTATTTTAAACCAGGGTAAGATACAATTTACAAGTGAAACAATATTATCTATTGATGATAAGGTACAACTAAGAACTCTCCCCATTGCAGATGAGAATGTAAATCAGGACACCTACTTTGGCAAATAAACATTTTCCAGTAAGGTGGAGGATTCACATGGTCTATGACTTAAAAGTTCTATTTCTAAGTATATACCCAAGAGAAACACTTGCATATTTGTGCCAGGAGACATGTATAAGAATGTCCAGAGCAGACTCTCCATAACAGTAAAAAACAGAAAAAGCCAGATGCTCATTAACAAAGAAAGGATAAAGTGACACAAAGGCATAGAGTGGAATACTATGCAACTATAAAAAGTAAATTAACCACACCTCTATGAGTGAATCACAAAAACAAACAAACAAAAAAACAGAATGTTGAGTAAAATACACTGAGGCACAGAAGAATATACACTATACTATCCAATCATATATTTCTAAAATAAAATGCTTAGATAAATACATAGCTTATAAAACTATAAAGAAAAGCAACATAATGATGGTATACAATTCAAATAGGGCCTTATTTCTGGATTGGGAATGGGAGAAAAAATTGGGGAGGTGCACATATTTTAACTCCAGTTAATGTTTATTTCTGGAGCTGGGTGGTGAGTATGAGTACTGATTTCTTCAGCCCTTAAATTGTATATATAAAAATTTACAGTATATACACTCATTTTTATATATTGTAGAACTTAACATTTAAAAAAGACAAAATCAATTATACAGTCACCAAATATGGCAGAAATTAGGAAGGTGTCACTTGATTGGCCAAGGGTCATTCTATTGCAGAGAGAAAAAGGACCTGTGATGGCAGCATACACGCTGTCAATGGTCCTATTAATTCATTTGGGACAACAGTGAACATGTGAGTATTTGGTACCTGGTTCATGATAGATACTTGATACAACTGGTGAAAGAAAGGAGAAAAGGAAGGAAAGGAAAGAGAAAGAAAGGGCGAGAGAGATGGAGTTAGGGAGAGAGGGAAGGCAAAAGGTAAAGAAGGGTTTGGGGAGGGAAGAAGACTGGCTGCCCTAGATTTGTGAATAATTTTATTATACACAATAAAAAGATTCCCTGCTGTCTGGAAAGAGTTCAGTCTTATCTTGACTGAGGGAGAGCTCTATTCTCTTGCAGAATTTAGCCCATTGTGTCTTGTGTTACTAATGGTTACACTGACAGCTATAATACACCACTGAGACTTGCTTGTCAAACATTAACTTCTATGCCATGTTATAGATTTTTTTTCTGATAGAGTAATCACTGCTACTTATGCGGAATGACAGAAGCTGCCTGATAGTATTTAATCTAATCCGAAAACACAAGAAATAACCCAGCTATGTAAGACAGAGAAAAACCCGAAGGGAATTTTCTTTCTGAAGTCAGGACAGGAAGGAAGCATTAAGCCTATAACTAAACTCTGACTGAATGTACCTTTTGCCTTAGTTTCATATGTGACTTCATGCTTAAATCTGTATTTTAAAATTAAAAGTTTAAGGTTAACTGAATACAAAATAATATTCATAACACATTTTCAAAGTATAAAATAATAAAGAAAACAAAACTTGTGTATACAACACACAGCTTTCAAAAATAAAAATATTAATGCCATCTTAGAAGTGATTCCCATATCCCCTCCCTCCTGTTTTCCCACTCAAAATAATGCCTCTCCTGAATTGTATTTATATCATCTCATTGTTTTTGTTTATAGTGTGCATATTTGTATAAATTCCTGAACACTAAATTCTTTGTTTTTACAGATTTTTAAGCTTCATCAAAATACAATAATATTGCATTTTTTCCTGCTATGACTTGTTTTATTTTCCATTTGGCACTCATTTTTTGAGACTTGCCCCTGATATAATGTACACGCCTATAATGTATTCACTTCCATTGCTCTTTACAATCACATTGTATGAATATCACAAGGGGCTTATCAATTTCTCCTATTGACTGATATTTAAGTTGTTTTCAGTTTTTTTGGTTACTACATAATGATGGACATTCTTGTACGTGTCTCCTGGTTCAAGTGAGCAAGTTTCTCTGGGTGAGATTACTGGGTTAGAAGGCATGCACATTGAAACTGCTAGATCATAATTGTTTTCTACAGCAGTTTACTAATTTGCACTCCAGCAGCATTGATTGAAAATTTCTGTTGCCCACATCTTCACCTGTCATCTTTGCCACTCTTATGAGTTAGTATTCATCAAGACTCTGGTGTGCTGACTTGTGTCATACTCTTAAGTAACCGCAGATGTGATTCAGTCAGTATACAATCTACACTTAGATCTATGCCCCTGATTTGAAGTTAGTGGCCCATGTTGAATTGGGCCATAGCCTCATTTGTGCATTTATCAAAAAGCAGTGCTTAAAAAAGGAGAATAAGTCTGCTGTTTTCTCAGTAAAGTGCTGATTGACAAATGTGAGGAAAAAAATCATGATGTTAGTAGTAGAAATGAAATATTGTATTTGGCACTGTTGGGAAATCACCCAAGTTTTGTGGGTTTCTGACTTCATAACTACAAGATATTTGGATCAAAGTATACTTACTTTAGGTGACATATGAATTCATAATCCAAGGAAAAAAGCCTCATAAAAATAACTTAACATTAAATATATCTTGCAAAAGGACCATTTAACTTGGCAAAATATTAATGAAATAAAACACATGGGTTAGATTTCCCTTATAATACACACAGGAATAAAACGTGCTCAACAAAATATGCTTTGGCTTTTGCTAAACTAGAAACATCTGAAAATAACCTAAGAGATTTCCTTAAACTATAGCATGTTTCTGGCTTTGTCCACCACTTAATTAAGTGTTGTTTTAATAATGAAGCACATTAAGGATGGGGGTTGTGTCCAGCCTACAAACCATTCTTTATGAGGTAGTAAAGATAAAGACAATAGTACTGACATAAAAAATATATATATTTAATTTCACGCTCTTACCTTCTTAACATATGTTTTATATCAGCCTTACTAGTTATTTTCTGAAATCCCTTTTAGTTAAGAAAGTTAGCCATTGTTTTGTCCTTGAAAATTTAGGTGGAAATCTGTCCTGAGGCTCAAGGATAAAGGAGATAGGTAAGATGTTTCCTGGCAACTGTAATGCCATTACTTATGAAGAACCAAGTTGTGTGCGCTGGGAAAGCGGAATTAGAGAGGCAAGTTATTGCTTTATTCCTTGTCTTCACAAAGTGAACTCTTGAACCTTTAAAACTAAGGCGGTAGAAATGATACAAGCATAACCATAATGACAGTCCAGTGCAATCTCTGTGCATCTGTAGACTCATTTTTTAATACTATGAAAAAATGCTTTTTAGACTAAATACCTAACTGTTTTAGACTTCGACCACCAATAAAGATGGTATAGATACATCTAACCAATCCACTGGCTGAGGACAATACAACCTGGACAAGACAATTTTTTAAGTGTTTGAGAGGGAAGATGTGTTTCAAGGCACTGAAAAGACAGAAAGAGTAAAGTACTGGTCAGCCGAGATGTGGAGGAGGATGGAAGCTGAAGGATATAAACCTGACTTCGGGGGCATTTCTTCCCCAGTGGGCTTTTGCTGATTTAAAAAGGATCCTGAACATTTAAGGGGGTGAGAAGCTGGGCATTACTTTTCACAGCTTCACAGAGAAAAGGGAATAGACATTGGAGTCTAGGAGCTATCAAGAAGGGAAGGGGATTTGTAGAAACCACTGCAGAAATCCTGAAGGGCTGGACCCTAGGAACAGAACAGGGTAAACTGGAAATAGAGAAAATGAAGCTCTGTTTCGATTTACCTCAATATCTAAAAATGGATTGAAGTGATGTCAATGCCAATGCATGAACAAATGTGAATGTTCTTCCTAAAACCAAGACATGCTGAGCCTCAAATCATTTCTACAATCAACTTTCCAAATACAGTGCCTCTTCTTTCTCTCTCTCACACATACACATACATACTCATATACACACAAATAAACAAGCATCCAAGGAGCCAACAGAATATATATATAAACAAGATAAAAAATATTAAATGATATATCATTTCCAGGCTTATTGGGAAAAAAGAGAAATTTTAAATGCTCAATCAAAACCAAAGCAAAAAAGGAGAGAAATGAATCATAAAACAAACAGAACAAATAGAAAACAAATACTAAGATGATAGATTAAACTCCAATATATAAGTATTTAGATTTAATGAAAGTGGTCTAAATGTTCTAATTTGAAGACAAAGGTGATCAGATTGAGGGGGGGAAAAGATATAAAAAAGAGACAGGTACAAAATAGAGGATAAAGAGAGGTTGAAATTAAGAGGCAAAGCATGCAAATATTAACCAAAAGAAAAATTGAGTAGTTACATTATTATTAGACAAAGGTAACTTTAGAAGAAAAAGCATTAACATAGGTAAGAAATGCTTCATAATAATAAAACTTTCTATCCACCAAAAATATTATGACAATTCTAAATTTTCATCCAAGTAAACAGAGCCTCACAATAGTTATAATTATAAAATAGAACTTTAAAATAGACAAGAGGGGAAATGCATAATTCTGAAATATATTGGAAAAGTGTAACATACCTAGAAATATCTAATTTAAAATGCCATATAAAAATAATATGATAACATTTAGAAAACTAATTTGCAAAGTTGATTTAATGTATATAAACAGAACAATGAATCCAACACATAGGTATTATTTAAAAACATGGAATGCTTCACGTATTTACGTTTTATCCTGGTGCAGGGGCCATGCTAATATTCTCTGTATCATTCCATCATTCCAATCTTAGTATATGTACTGCAGAGAGAGCACTACACACAGACACTTTTTTTGTTGTTGCAATTTTTATTAATTTATTTTTGTTACAGATGTTTCTCCTTTTTCCCTCCCAGCCACCCTTCTTCCATTTCCACCCCTCCTCCCCCTGCAGCATTGTTGTCTATGTCCATTGCTTATGTATACATGCATGTAAGTTCTTTGATTTATCAAATTTCTCTCCCCCAACCCCCTCCTCTGAGGTTTCTTAGTCTGACTGCACTGTTTTCTATGTCTCTGGGTCTATTTTGTTCATTATATTCCACACATAAGTGAGATCATATGGTATTTATCTTTCTCTGACTGGCTTATTTCACTTAGCATAATACTCTCCAGATCTCTCCATGTTGTCTCAAAAGATAAGAGATCTCTCTTTCTTACAGCTGCATAGTATTCCATTGTGTATATGTACCAAAGCTTTTTTATCCACTTATCTACTGATGGACACTTGGGTTGTTTCCAGATCTTAGCAATTGTAAATAGTGCTGCTATGAAGATAGGGGTACATATATTCTTTCTGCTTGGTGTTTCAGGCTTCTTAGGATATATTGTTAGAAGTGGGGTCACTGGGTCAAATGGCAGATCAATTTTAAACTTTTGAGGAAACACCATACTGTTTTCCATAGTGGCTGCACCAGTCTGCATTCCCACCAGTAGTGTACTAGAGTCTCCTTTTCTCCACACCCTCACCAGCACTTGTTGTTGGATGATTTGTTGATGGTAGACATTCTGGCAGGTGTAAGGTGATACCTCATAGTTGTTTTAATTTGCATCTCTCTGATGATTAGTGACATTGAGCATTTTTTCATATGTCTCTTGGCCATTTGTATGTCCTTTTTGGAGAGGTGTCTACTTAGGTCCTCTGTCCATTTTTAATTGGGTTCTTTGTCTTCATTTTGTTGAGTTGTATGAGCACTTGATGTATTTTGGAAATTAACCCCTTATCTAATGGACAGTTGGCAATTATGCTCTCCCATATAGTGGGCTCCCTTTCCATTTTGATGGCTGTTTCTTTTGCTGTGCAGAAGCTTTTTAGTTTGATATAGTCCCATGTGTTCATTTTTTTCCTTTGTTTCTGTTGCCTTAGGTGATGTATCACTGAAAATTCTGCTTCGTATGATGTCTGAAATTTTGTTGCCTACATTTTTTTCTAGGATTTTTATGGATTCACAAGTCACATTTGTCTTTTATCTATTTTGAGTTTATTCTTGTGTATGGTGTAAGTTGGTGGTCTAGTTTAATTTTTTTCCCATATAGCTGTCCAATTTTCCCAACAATATTTATTAAAGAGGCTGTCTTTTCTCCATTGTATGCTCTTGCCCCCTTTGTCAAATATTAGTTGAGCATAATGTTTTGGGTCAATTTTTGTGTTCTCTGTTCTGTTCCATTGATTTATATGCCTCTTCTTGTGCTAGTTCCAGGCTGTTTTGATTACAATAGCTTTGTAGTATAACCTGATATCTGGTATTGTGATCCCTCTTTGTCCTTCTTTTCAAGATTGCTGTGGCTATTTGGAGTCTTTTTAGTTTTGTACAAATTTTTGAAGTATTTGTTCTAGTTCTGTGAAATATGTCATTGGTATTTTAATAGGGATTGCATTGAATATACAGATTGCTTTGGGTATATGGACATTGTAATGATGTTAATTCTTTCAATCCATGAACAAGGTATATGCTTCCACTTTTTTATATTTTCTTCTATTTTTTTTTTCAATGTTCAGTAGTGTTCTACAAATAGGTCCTTTATTTCTTTGATTAAGTTTATTTCTAGGTATCTTAATTTTTTTTTTTTCTGCAATGGTAAATGGATTGTTTTTTCAGTTTCTCTGTCTGTGAGTTCATTATTGGTGTATAATAATGCCATCAGTTTCTTGATGTTAATTTGTATCCTGCTACTTTGCCAAATTCATTTATTAAGTCTCATAGATTTTTGATGGATTCTTTAGGGTTTTCTATGTACAATATCATGTCATCTGCGAATAACAACAGTTTCACTTCCTCCTTTCCAATTTGGATCCCTTCTATTTTTTCTTCATGGCTAATTGCTGTGGGTAAGACTTTCAGTACTATGTTAAATAAGAGTGGCAAAGTGGGCATCCCTGTCTTGTTCTTGTTCTTAAGGGAATGTTTTAAGTTTTAGCCCATTGAGTATGATGTTGGCTGTGGGTTTTCACATATGGCCTTTATTATGTTGAGATATGATTCCTATATTCCCACATTCCTGAGCATTTTTAACAGAAATGGGTGCTGAATTTTGTTAAATGCTTTTTTTTCAGTGTCTATTGATATGATCATATAGATTTTATCTTTTGTTTTATTTATGTAGTGTATCACATTTATTCATTTGTTACTATTGTACCAACCTTGCATTCCTGGGATGAATCCCACTTGGTAATGGTGAATAATTTTTTAATGTATTGCTGGATTTTATTTATTAATATTTTGTTAAGGATTTGAGCATCTATGTTCATCAGGAATATTGGCTTGTAGTTTTCTTTCTTTGTACTGTCTTTATCTGGTTTTGAAATTAGAATTATACTGGCCTCATAAAATGAGTTTGGAAGTCTTCCTTGTTCTTGAATTTTTTGGAATATTTTGAGGAAAATGGGTGTTAATTCTTTGAATGTTTGGTAAAATTCCCCCATGAAGCCGTCCAGGCCTGGGCTTTTGTTTGCTTGGAGATTCTTGATTACATCTTCAATTTCCTTAGTTGTTATTGGTCTGTTCAAGATTTCTACCTCTTTCTGGTTCAGTTTTGGGAGACTATGAGTTTCTAGAAATTTTTCCATTTCACCCAGATTGTCCAATTTGTTGGCATATAATTGTTCATAGTATGTTTTAATGATCCTTTGTATCTCTGTGGTGGTGTCAGTTGTTAGTTCTCTTTATTTTAGTTGTAATTCCAGTTTGGTTTGGTCCTGGGAGATTGTCTGTGTAGCTTTCATTCACTCTGCCACCATTTTGGAATCTCCACACAGGCACTTTTGATTTTATTTTTAGGTTTTATTTTAAGAGTACATTTATTAAACCTGGGGACAGTGAAACAAGGGAGTGCTTCGAATAAAAGAAGGAACAGGACAGAGCCTAGGCAGGGCTGCTCTGGCTCTCTAGAAATGCCGCAGGAGAGACGTGAGCCTGGGCGGGGCTGCTCTGGCTCTAGAAATGCGGTAGGAGAGACGTGAGCCTGGGCGGGGCTGCTCTGGCTCTCTAGAAATGCCGCAGGAGAGACGTGAGCCTGGGCGGGCTGCTCTGGCTCTCTAGAAATGCCGCAGGAGAGACGTGAGCCTGGGCGGGGGGTGCTATGCATATATGGCTGCTCCTAGAAAATGCCGCAGGAGAGACTTGAGTCTATGGGGGCTGCTCTGGCTCTCTAGAAATATGCCGGCAGGAGAGACTGAAGTTCTAGGGGGGGCTGCCTACTGGCTCTCTAGAAATGCCGCAGGAGAGACGTGAGCCTGGGCGGGGCGGCTCTGGCTCTAGAAATGCCGTAGGAGAGAGACGTGAGCCTGGGCGGGGCTGCTGTGGCTCTCTAGAAATGCCGCAGGAGAGACGTGAGCCTGGGCGGGGCTGCTGTGGCACTCTAGAAATGCAGCAGGAGAGACGTGAGCCTGGGCAGGGCGGCTCTGGCTCTCTAGAAATGCCTAGGAGAGACATGAGCCTAGGCGGGGCTGCTTTGGCTCACTGAGAAGCCAGAGGAAATGAGGCCTTGGAGATAGGTTCAGAGAGTCAGCCCAGGATGAGCTGTCACTGCCCATTGCTCCCCTGGTTGCAAGTCTTGTGAGGACCCTTGTAGTTTAAGAGAAACACTCCTGAGAGGGAAGAAAGATGTGCACCAGGGAGGGATAGTACCCATAGGCATTTTTTAAATGACCATGTGCTAAGTCATAAAACAAGTTTCAAAATTAATATATTAAAGTATTGAACAGAGTGGATTATCAGCCCACAGTGGGGGAATAAAAGGGCAACCAGAAAATCTCTAGATGTTTGAAAATTAAACAATAGACTTCTAAATAATTCATAAGTCAAAGAAGTCCTGATAACAATTAAAAATATTTTAACTCAATGATAGCAATAATACAATGTATCAAAACTTATGAATGATAGCCAAAACCATGCTTAAAAGAATATTTACAATTTTAAAAGTAAATATGAAGAAAGAAGGCTGAAAATCAATAACCTCAAGTATAAACTCAGGAAAATAGAAAAAGAACAGCAAAATAAACCTATGGAAAGTATAAGAAAGAAAGTAGTAAAATAATAGTATAAACAATTTAAAATATATTTTAAAGAAAACGGAACATAATATGAATAAGCTAAATAGTCATCCAAGAGGCTAAGGGGAAAAGGTAAACCCATTATAATTTATAGAAAAGAAACAATGGAAATGAAAGCAGAAGTTAATGTAACAGAAATTTCCAAATAACTAATGGCAAGACAGGTTTTAAAAAATAAACCAGAAGACACTGCCCTGTCTGGTTTGGCTTTGTGGTGAGAGCCTCAGCCCAAGGACCAATGAGTCGTAGGTTCGATTCCAGTCAAGGGCACGTACCTCAGTTGCGGTTTGGTCCCTGGCTCTGGTCTGGGTCATGTGGGAGGCAACAAATCGATGTGTCTCTCTCACATCGATGTTTCTCTCTCTCTCTCTCCCTCCTCCCCCCAGCCCTCCCACTCTATCTGAAGATAAATGGAAAAATATTCTCGGGTGAGGATAAAAAAAAATCAGGAGATACCAATGAAGAAAAATGTCAGTTAGAATGGATAAAACTATTCTTATTTAGAGATGATAAGATTGTCTACAGACAAACCTTTAAAATTAATAATAGGATTCAACAAGGCTATGGATGCAAGATCAATATACAAAAATCATTAAGGTTCCCCCTCACTAGGAATAATAAAATAGAAAATGTAATAGAAAAAAGAATCACAAAGAAAGATACAATAGCAACTAAACTATAAAGCACCTTGGGAAAAAAACCCTACAAGTAT